TATTAATAACTTGCTCAAGAATATTGAAAATTACGGAAAAATGTGGCGAAGGTGTTGAGAAAAAAAAACGCTGATTCATAGCGAGGAAATAATGTTAAACTCTTTGTGAACTGTCTGAAAATATTAAATTTAAATAATAAATATAATAGCAATTTAATTACTTGCGCATGCAACAACGTCTTCCTGCCTACTGTCCACATATTAATTTATAGAAAAAGAACTAACAACTATACATAAAATTCGTTTAACAAATGAATATATAATAAAAAAGAATCTATACAGGGATATTGTACCTACAGTGCGTTACTGACATAATCCCAGCTAACCACTGGCTTGAAAATGAAGAGGGGCAAGGGGAGACGTCCACTCACGGCGCTCGTCCCGATAGTAATGGCGGAATTAATTTCGGCACGTCTTTGTACTGGCCGAGCCGCGAGCTAAGGTGGAGCGTGCGGCCGAATCCCTTGCCCTTCATCACATTTGAGCGATGGGCCGGTTGGGGTCACGTCAGTAACGTACTGTACACGATACTTATTAAACCGAATGATCTTAAACGAAATAAAATAACAATGATAATAAGTCAGTAATTACTCAAATTAACAATTACTTGACATTGCGTAGTAAGCTCCGTATCGAGGACTAAAATATATTTAAAATCGAAAATTTTTTATGACCTTTTATAATCAACTTTTACGTTATAAGACTCTCAATGAGATTTATTCTATGTAATCTTTTTAATCTATCTAACCTTTTTAGAGCTTTTTAACCCTTCACGATATAATTATTTTTAAATTGTTTTCCATTGAGTCCCAAATGCAATTAGAAATAACACGTAATGTATTGAAAGTCCCATACCATTTAACATACCTAATCGAAATATCGTGAAAGCCAGATTTTCCAAAAATTCTAATATAGACACGGACCAAAGGGGAAAGGCTTGAACGTCCATCGAAGGGGGGTAGGTTACCGCGTGGGAATTCTCCCTTGACACTCCCGCCAGGAGAACAGTGACTGTCCCTGGGCGCACGCTGTGCCCCTTACCCCGCCCACGATCCCGATCAAACCGTCCACGGTGTCCTTGCGGATTCCCTCCCCTTAACCGGCTTGTCTCGCTCCCTCTTCCCTTCATCCAGCTCATTCCAGACCATTGCCTCCTTCTCCCAGTCCCGTTCCGCTAACCTCTTTGTCATTCGTCTCTCTCGCTCCCTACATTCCTCTCAGCCACTCCAACTCTCCCCACCCGTCCCCCACCATGTAATCGAACCACCCACCAGATCTCTCGTTCGCTTGGCTCGCGATCTTCTACGTTCCTCTCTCTACGCTGTTCGCTCCATTCTCGTCTCACTTGCTCGCTGGCTCGTCAATCCTTCCTTCCCCGACGCACGACACCACCGTTATTCCCATCCTCGTCCCGCCCGTGCGCGGGAGTATCAGCCCTCCTCTCTCCGACACGCGATGCCACCGATAGTTCCATCCTTGATTTTCTCGTTGGTCGGCTGATCGGTCTTCCTCTCTCCGACGAGAGGCGCCGTCGATAGTTCGTTCTTCGTTGCGCTCGTGGTCACGGAGGCAGGCGCCACGAATCTCACCGCGGGCATCTTCGGCCGTGCTCGGTCGGTTCCGGCTTGCGGCCAAAAGAATTCGTCAGTGTTCGCCGCGCTGCCCTGCCGGCAAGTTCTATGTGAGTGGTATGGTGATTTGTTTCTTGTTGTGCGTGTCCTCTACGTGCATCGTGCATATGTGCATATGTGTATATATATGTATATATATATGTATACATATGTACGTATATATATATATTCATACATATATATATATATATATATGTATAGTCAGAAGTGCGCGTGCCCTGGTACGGAGAGGGAGATTACGCGTTTAGTTGCCGCGACGTGACGTGCACGCACGCATAGCCAGTGGAGATCACTCTCCGTTTCGTACTAGTCCGACCTTGCCGTCAGAAGTAAACGACACGGTTGAAAGACGGAAAAGAAAAAGTCTCCAATTCCGAGGGAGAGTCGACTTCGAAGTGATAACAGGGATCGAGGTGTCGATCCCGGACAAACAAGTAGGAACACGGAACATCGATGAAAAATAGGAGGAAAAATCGATTGCGGGAGAAGATTGTTGCAATTGGGAAAATTTCATCGATCACGGATTTCGGTGGACGTGACGCGATTTGGCCCCGCAAATCGATTCCCCGAAAGTGTTCGCAACACTGTACGCGACTCGAGATAACGGAGCCAAAGATTCTCCTCTCCTCTCAGTGGGCCAAGTTCTCTATCAAAACATGGCCACGTGACCGACGGCGCGGCTTGTAAACACAGAGAGTTTGACCACGTGGTCTGCCCCCTCTCTTGCTACGTCGCTCGCGCGCTCACTCTCTGTGTCTCTCTTTCTCTCTGCCTCTTCTTTTTCTCTCTTTCTCTCTCCTCTTTCTTTCTTTCTTTCTCTCTCTCTCTCTTCTCTTCTCTTCTCTTCTC